AGTTAGCAGTAAATACAGATTTGACCATATGTAGTGACTGTGTCCGTCTGTGACTTCCTGAGTTTCAAATTTCCAACAGTTCGAAGTTTGTTCTGGCTCGACAGATGTCAGCTTGCTCGGAGCTGCGTGGGAACCGCTCGTGTTTTGTTTTGAAGCACATCCGCAGGGTTCATGTGGGTGTGTGCACGTCAATCAGTCCCCAAATGAGGTCAGGGCTAATTATGTGAGGCCACTTCTTCATTAACGAAACGGGAGGGATATACTGTAGGAAACATTTCACTCAGAAATTTACTCAAACACATCTACTGCTGTTAGTAGTAGCAGTAGTAGTAGTAGTAGTGATAGCAGCAGCAACAGTAGTAGCAGCAGTAGTAGTGGTAACAGTAGCAGCGGTAGTAGTAGTTGTAGTAGCAGTAGTAGTGGCAGTAGTAGTGGTAGTATTACTAGTAACAGTAGTGGTAGTACTGGTAACAGTAGTAATAGTAGTAGTAGTAGCAGTAGTAGTGTTAGTAGTACTAGTAACAGTAGTGGTAGTACTGGTAACAGTAGTAGTAGTAGTGGTAGTAGTGGTAGTAGTAGTGGTAGTAGCAGTAGTAGTGGCAGTAGTAGTGGCAGTATTACTAGTAACAGTAGTAGTAGTGTTAGTAGTACTAGTAACAGTAGTGGTAGTAGTACTGGTAACAGTAGTAACAGTAGTAGTAGCAGTAGTAGTGGTAGCAACAGTACTAGTGGTAGTAACAGTAGTAGCAGCAGTAGTAGTGGTAGCAGTAGCAGCGGTGGTAGTAGTAGTAGTAACAGTAGTAGTGGTAGTATTACTAGTAACAGTAGTAGTAGTGGTAGTAGTACTAGTAACAGTAGTGGTAGTAGTACTGGTAACAGTAGTAACAGTAGTAGTAGCAGTAGTAGTGGTAGCAACAGTACTAGTGGTAGTAACAGTAGTAGCAGCAGTAGTAGTGGTAGCAGTAGCAGCGGTAGTAGTAGTGGTAGTAGCAGTAGTAGTGGTAGGGTTAGTAGTGGTAGCAACAGTAGTAGTGGTAGTAACAGCAGCAGCAGTAGTAGTGGTAGCAGTAGCAGCGGTAGTAGTAGTGGTAGTAGCAGTAGTAGTGGTAGTATTACTAGTAACAGTAGTAGTAGTAGTGTTAGTAGTACTAGTAACAGTAGTGGTAGTACTGGTAACAGTAGTAATAGTAGTAGTAGTAGCAGTAGTAGTAGTAGTGGTGACAGCAGCAGTATACACGCAAATAAATAAAGAATAGAATGACTTTCATAGACTAGCACATTAGTTGCACTCAGAATTGCCATGTGTGTATACAAATCTTCTCACCGCGCATGCTTGATGTAACTGCTCCACGTGAACTGTTATTGTTTAAATTACATACGTCGTCTTGTTTTCTCTTTGTGTGCTTGCACTTTCCTGTTTATCTTGGTCTCGTACTTGTTTCGTAATTGGCGTGTGAGTAAGAATGTAAATAGATTATTGAATTATATTAACTGTATTAACACAATAATAGTATATAATGTTAATTACATTCAGCATAAATGCATATATTTTCTTTTCTCACCTCTTAATGACTATTTTGATTTATGTTCATATAATAAAAATTATTATTTAAATTACATAATTTGACTTATTTGTTTGCGTTTATTTCTTCCTGTTTACGCCTGCTTGTTCGTAACTTGTTATTGCCCTGATAAATTAGCATGTAAACAAACGTGGAATTAAATTAGCATCATCAGTTTAATTGTTCACGTCACCATTCAACTGATTAATAAGTTCTTCATATACAGAACTATTGAAAGCGGAAGTTCGTCACCAAGTAAATAAACTCCGCTACTTGTCCCTCACCAGAACCAGTTCAATCGAGTTCACGCCTTTGCAACTTTTCTTTCTAAGATAGGATACAGTTTGGTATTATTCTGCCATCCTTGTCTGGATCTCCTGTGGTGTTCTTTCCGGTTTTCCAATCAATACTCTGTAGGAATTTCTTACTTCTCCCATACGCGATATATCTTTTCACGGTGTTGCTGTTCACGGTTAATTGGTCCGAACGGAACTGGGTAATGGATATAAAGAGGCTCTCCTGATTCCTATAGGAGCCCGCGAGTTCCATCCGGGAAACCGCCTAAAGAAGTGAATGACTGTGTAAGATTTGAGGCTTTCACGGCGGTGACTATGAAGAAAGCAGTCTTCTGGGATTTGGCACCGTGTATATGTGGTGTTAACCGACGTTTCGGAGGAACGTATCGCCTCCATCTTCAGGGTAGAAGAAAAAATATAAGAAATCTGCAAGCGAAGAGACCGTGAGAATCGGTAAAAGCAGACTGTGTGGAAATATACACAGCTATGTGAGAGNAACCAACCAACCAACCAACCAACCAATCAACCAACCAACCAACCAACCAACCAACCAACCAGCCAACCAACCAACCAATCAACGCTTAGGAACAGAGTCCTCCCGCCGAAGATTTTAATTGCTCAACTGGTGATTAAATTTGCAGCGTGTTATTCAGCACGAATGTTCATTACCGTGTTCACAAAACGCTGCTACTGATTCCTGTGCTGGGTAAGATAACTCCACTCCACACTCCCCCATCCTATTTCTTTAGTATCCATTTCAATATTATCCTTCCGTACACGACTAGGTGATCCAAGTGGTCTCTTCAGGATTTCCTACAAAAGTTTCGCAAGCATTTCTGTCTTCCTTACCTTTTCACGACCATCGATTTGATCATCCCAAAAAAAATTGGCACGGAATTCCAATTATGAAGCTATTAATTATGCAATTTTCTCGCAGAAGTAAATTTGAGAACTTCCCGAACCTTACACATCAGAATCTGAGTACTACTAAAACTGCTTGTATAGAACAAATAAAATAAAATACATCCTGACGCCTTGATTATTTGATTAACTCCATTGTGCAAGGTTTTCCTTGGAAAGTCGAAAAGTTACCTGCTTTTCCCGTCATTGGGATATAAACCGATCCACTTAGAACATCTTATTTAAAGGTGAAGCTATCCCTGTAACAGGCCCTGGAGACCCATGGGGTTGTGAGATGTCGAGGTTTCCGCATCTTCTAGACAACTAACGCACAGATGTAAACCTTATGCGCCGGTCGCCCTTTACCCCCTGGAAGATTCCTGGTACGCATTTCTGTTAGAGGTTGAGTCGACCCCAGAGCCGTAGTGCAGCTGGAGAGATTAGGTAAATTGGAAAATCCAATAACCTCATCGAGAATGGAACCCGCGACATTCCGGCTTGTAGCATGGTGCCTCAACCAGCTACACTACGGCGTGTCTGCAGTTAATTCAAATGTCACCTTCTTTTTATATTTACGATTTACATATGTAATCTACTCTCAAGTTTTTCCAGGTCAAAACCCAATTCAGTGTCAGGATCTCCTGACTGCCAGTTTAATCCTGAAAACCGACAGGGTTCGAAGAGAGGGCATAAGATCTTGGTCCCCCGTACGTTCAACCATTAGGAACGACGTCACCTTATAAAGCCCAATTAGTAACCGAGGTCCCAGCAGGCCTCGTTTTGTGAAGCAGACAGGGGGCTCAACTGTTTACTATGCAGCTATATGAGTACGGTTCCTCCGTCTCCATATTGCACTCAATTCTTCTTTGAGCAGTTGCTACACAGTGTTGGTGGATTATTTAACGACGGTTTCAGTATTAGACTATACAGTGTCGTGAAGGCAGAATGAGTGAGGAATGGTAAACTGGAAAAGAAACAAACTCCGTGGCACGTAGTCCGCAAGCGAACTATATCGACCGAGCAACCGCCACTTGTAGAAATTAGTGTCAACTTTTGCCGATAGAGGGTGTCACGTGGTCAGTGCAACGGATCCCCACGGCCGTTAATCTCGGTTTTATAGACCGGAGCCTCTATTTCATTGAAATAGCTCCTCAGTTATCCTCACGAGACTGAGTGGACCCCGTTTCAGACCTACCACTTTTCAGGAAATCTGGTAGCTCCGGGAATCGAACCCGGGACCTCTGGATCTGTAGCCAGGAACTCTGACCACTAAACCACAGAGAGTAGCCGTCGCAAAAGCCGAACATATTCATCTTCGGCAGTCAACTTGAGGAGCCTATAACCAGCAATTTTTTTAGCTTTAATCGAAAGCTATATCATTCTATACGAACGTTTTATAGCACATGGACAAAACAAATAGCTTACTGACATATGTAACTTTCGTCTGAAATACTTTTAAATGTGCTGTACCAGTACTGTAACGGAATACAAATAAAAACATTTCATTCATGCGTGTATGTCTTAAAATCAAGGCCGACATAGTGTAGACCTCCTGGCCATGCCGACAACTGATCACTTCCGGTGGGCACTACCTGCAAGGCCCCTCAATTTTGGGCACTGCCACTGAATAAGTTATGTTTCATCGATTTTCCACTAACCAATCTCCTCTTGAGTGTTATTCACAATGGCCTGACCAATGCGGCCGAACTGTTACTTCACCGACATTGGTACAGGAGACCGGGTGTTCTTGACACTGATCGGACAAGGCTCTTAAGATCATTGTCGGCAAGTGCCAGTCAGTGTCAATATCGCCCGATTTCGACCTCTGACCCATAACAAATGAAAATTGTATCCCTCCATATACATACATATATATACGTATATATACATACACGACACTCCGTAACTCTTGCAACTTCAGCCAACAAGAATTTAATCTCTGCACGCTGCTAATTGGTGTGTCTGGTAAGAGGAAGGGCCACGTTGATGCCACTAGTGATGAAAGACAACTGAATGGTGAAGGTCAAGTAAGTCACCACAACAATAGCAAGGTTCCAAGCTTACGGTTGCATGCTCATTCAGTCGCTGGGCAAGTCGTAAAGATATTTACATACTGGAAACACACATATTTTGATGTTTCTGTTTCTTTTCGGTTCTATGCACGATTGCGTTTTATGAAGACAGCATTTCTTGTCCCTTATTTGATATATTTTAGTGTTTATGCAAATGTTTACATTTGCAGTGATGGTTTCTCTACGGATGCCTCGCAACAATGGAAGCAGTGGCGGAGACGGGGACGTGATGCTATTGGTCCGTGCGACAGCAGCGCTAATCCCATTGGTGCTGCTACACATCTGCCTATTGGTTGCCGGAGAAGACGCGGCGGCTGACACGACGCCGATAGACCACGCGCGGACGAGTAGATTTCCTCGTTATCGGTTCAACATACGCAAAGATGACATCTTCCATGACACTAGGGTAATCCCCGTGGAGCATCAGGTGTCAGAGTTCCTCTACAAAGGCGAGACAAAACTGTGAGTTTTTTTTTCTGTCCATCTTCATGTGAAGTCCAGTAAACTATATCAACGGACTGCTGATCACAGTGGTCGCGCGGTCTAAGGCATGAACTGTCTTTGCTCGCTCGAACACTGGAATCGTGAGTTCGAAACCAATTAAGGCATGGATGTCTGTGCTTGCGTTTATTCTGCGTTTATGTTGTCCTGTGTGTAGGTAGCGGCCTTGCGACGGGCTGATCACTCGTCCAAGGAGTCCTACGGTCTGTGTAAAAAAAGATTACGAAACTGAAGAGACCAGGGCCCAACAAAGGACTGTAGAGGCATTCATGAATTAAATAATATGAATGAATATCAAATAACTAGGTAGTGGTACAAACATGCGAGTTTAGGCTTTTGTCTAGCGCATTGATTCCCAAACTTTTTCGGGCCACCGCCCCCATGGTACCATAAACTCATCCCTAGTACCCCCTGCCCTGCTCTATAAAAATCACTGTTGAAAATAGCGGTTTGCACAGCCCACTAAGTAACACAATAACAAAAACAAGATAACACATTTGATAACTACTTCACTGTTTGTAAATTCTTAATGCGGTGGATGGGCCTAACGAAGGTATACCAGTTTCCCAATGTCTGGTTTAAAGTCACTTCAGTTTTAAATAAGCGAACAATGTGCTCGGAGGAGCCAAACTCCAGCGCCCCCTGCCCCTCCCTTGCCTCTTAGAGTCCCCCCTAGGTAATCTTACCGTCCCCATGAGGCGGTACAACCCACTTTTTCAACCGCTGGTCTAGCGTCACATGAACTAAACTATAACAAATTCCCGGTACAACGTTTATGTATGATACCTTGAACATCACTGAATTGTCAACTGAACCCAGCACCGAGACAACAAGGTGAGTTCAGCTACTCTCACATTTTCTCGAGACACATTCCTCTACTAAATGTCTAGTCTAATTCCTGTAGGCCGAACCAATAGCAAGACAGAACTATGAGTTCAGCACGAAATGGATATTTAATACCTGTCGTCTACACAGATTTCGTGAACGCAGTAGTGGTCGGTATTTCGCTCAGTGATCCACAAACTTCGCAACTCGCGTCCCACTGTAGTAAAGGCAAAGCTCCTCGCGTTCCGAGAAATATATTTTAGAATTCTGTACGTTTTAGTATGATATTAATTGGTATTTATTTATGTGCTTGTTAACTCAAGCAGACAAGTTGTCCGCAACAGTAGCGCTGCCAACCGCCATGTTGACTGCTGAGTTTGTGCTGCCAACCTTGAAACTTTGTAATTAAAAATGTTTATTCACTCACTCCTGGAGCTCAGCCCTTCTTGAGAAGCTGCCAATTGCGCAACTACTGAAGAACTTCCCAGAATTTTATGGAACCCGAAGGTTCATTAACTTGTTCACAAGAGCCCTCCAGTGGTCCCTATCCTGAGCCAGATAAATCTAATCCATACCATCCCATTCTATCTCTCTGAGATCCATTTTAATATTGCTCACCCACCTACGCCTTGGTCTTCCCATTGGTCTCCTTCCTTCCTGCTTTCCCACCAATATCGTATATGCATTTCTCCTCTCTCCCATTCGTGCTACATGTCCTGCCCATTCCGAGGCTGTTTGAACATTTTCGTAACAAGTTTCTATTTACGCTGAGTTGTTAGCTCCGCACCCAACCCCAAATCTGGAGGACCACCCCCTGTTGGCTCTCCGGGACTGCTTATTCAATATATTCCCAGCTTCCCTCCAAAAATGTTTATTGGTGAATGAGAAACCAGCAACAAAGTGTTTTGGAAATGTACTTATAAGAACATAATCAAAATGATAATCTTTTAAAACCAGACCCCAAAACCCCGAACTTAAGAAAACCTAAAGCCTAACATTGTAATCGTGTTGCTGGGGCTAATTCGTCAACGTCTGTGACATTAACTCAATGGCTACAGAGCTCATGATTTTGTTTTTAGAATGTTGAGCTTTTGGTAACGTTCATTTAAAAACGTTTAACCCCTCCCCACGGTTGGTTTAGGATTTTCCTTCAAACAATAAATTTGTTTGCTGTCCTCTGGGTTAGAAATCTGTCACTGCTTCTAAGATTGGCAGCGATACCGTGGTCGGCAACATGGTGGTAAAGTTATAAGCTACGTGGGTCACCCACGAATACGTAAGTACCAATTAATCATTAATGATAAACTCCATGGCTTTAGTCCGCAAGCGAACTATACCGACCGAGCGACAGTCGCTTGTCAGCGAAGTTAGTGCCAACTTTTAAAATCTCGAAGATACTGGAAAACTTCTGTGCAGTTGGATTTTGTGTCGCTGATGATTATTGTTTTCGAGACTACAATTCACACCCAGTCGGCCGTCCAGTCCCAGAAATGGGATGCGCCCCACCGATTGAGAAACGACTTAACGAAACCTGATTCTTTTGTCTAAAAATGGTCACTTCGTTCACCCATATGACCGCCTTTGTGGTCTAGTGGTCACAGTTCCTGGTTACAGATCCAGAGGTCCTGGGTTCGATTCCCGACGCTACCAGATTTTCTGAGAACTAGTGGGTCTGGAACGGGGTCCACCCAGCCTCGTGAGGATAACTGGGGAGCTACTTCAATGGAAAAGTTGCGGCTGCGGTCTAGAAAACCGAAATTAATGGCCGTGGGGATTCCTTACGCGACACCCTCTATCCGCTAAAGTTGGCACTAACTTCACCGACAAGCATCAGTCGCTCGGTCGGCATAGTTCGGTTGCGGACTAAAGACACTGAGTTTAGTTTTTAGCTTTTTTAGTGCACCCATATATCTCAGTGATGCCTACTGCTAGCTCTGAAGCAAATTCGTCAAGACCTGTATTCAATCGAGACTTTTACTTTCTCTTGGCTTCCTTCCTCTTCGCCTCTTTTCTCATCTACACCCATCATTCTCTCATTTTCTCTGTTTCTTTCCTTACTTTTCTATCAATCTCTGTACTTTATTTCTTCTCTATTTCTATGTGTTACTTTCTTCCATCCATCACTTTCTTTCATTTCTTTTTCGTATATATCACTCTCTTTTTCTTTCAATGTATACTTTATTCCGTATTTTCTCCTCTTTTTTCTTTTTCAGTCATTTGTCTCTATCCTTCTGTCTTTCCATCTCTTTCTTTCTTCCCTTCTTTCTTTGCCTCTCTTCGTCTGTCTTTTTATTCTTCTTTATCCTCTCCCTTTCCCTCCTGTTACATTCTGTTTTTCAATACCGACAACGTAAATTTACGTTTTTAAATGTAGTCTATGTACATCGATAATGTTGTTACCCAAAATTTTCTGTAGTATCTCTTTTATGCTTCCTGTTCTCTGAAGCTGGAAAGTGTACGTTCCTGTGCCCATTTTCCATACACGTTTGCGTAGGAAATATTTGTCTGTCCGGCAGGATTGCGGTTTGTGTTGAACAATTCTAAAGACGCAGAAACCTGGCACAAATAAACAAGCGATAACATTGTTTGCTTTAAGCGACCCGGGGCCGTGCTCGGCCTAGCACCTAGACACGTCACTTGCGCTACTCAATGGAATTATCACCTCTCATAAAAGGATCTGCAAAGGAAACAAAGAAAACTAAGGACAACAGGAAATGTTTCGTATTAATTTCTGAAGGATACAGAGGAGCTGAGGGGCGAGCAAGTAGACACGTTGTAGGTAATGGACACTCATGCTTGCGCAAAAAATGCTGTGTGGAGTGAATTTTTCTAATGATTCGCGTACAACACTAGATATCCTTGATATTTTTAAAACACCGAACAGACGGAACGCTGCTGTCTGATAGGAAGTGACACAGCATTTCTGAGGGAACTGTCTGAAGATGGAGACAGCAATTCCTCCGAAAATTTGGTAAATTTCTACGAGACTACAGAGCACTACATTCAAAAGTCAGTACTCATATTCACGGGCGTAAGAACCTCAAATCTGACACAAGTAATGGATCAGTGAACCTCAGTCGGCGGCTCCTGACATCGAGAGGAGTATGAAGTGAGGTCTCGAAAATAAGAATTTACATTATTTATTAATACTGTGACGCGTTACCTCACGCCCATCACCACGACAACCACAAAGTTATTTGTCGCGTGACATACCCAACACGTGACAATATACTACCAAAAGTACATAATTTTAAATATATATCTTTTTGGAGAAATGGGAACTCTATAGGAGTTGAGGTTCTCACAACGGTTATTATGAAGAGGTCTGTCTTCTGGGATATGATGCCGTTATTTCGGAAAAATTCGCCTCCATCTTCAGGGCCGAAGAATAAACCAAGCAAGAAACCAGCTTGGTGCAGATAATAAGCCTCATCTTGTATGTCTTGCTCGATTTATTCTTCTGCCCTGAAGACGGACGCGACGTGTTTCTCCAAAAAGTCCCCTTCCTTACAACGGACTACAGGGTGCTATATCTTAGCAGATAAAACACTTCAACGACGAGCATTGCTTGTACTGTGGTAGAATTACGAGTTTCTTTACAATTTTTACAAAAGATCAGGCGTAGAGCAGAAAGCAAAATATTGAGAATGACTGTAAGAAATTAAAGAAAGTCGTCTTCTGGGATCTGGCGCCGTGTATTCTTCGTTTCATCCGACGTTTCGGAGGAACGTATCGCCTCCATCTTCAGGGCATTTGAATTGCTTTGCGAATGCAGAGAGCTGAAACAAAGAATACACGGCGCCAGATCCCAGAAGACGACTTTCTTCATAGTCATCGCCGTGAAAACCTCNAAAACTTACTGCAAGAGATTGTTTACCGACATTTTCTTAACCTGCATAGAAAAAAAAAGGAACATAGTTAAAAGACGATGAACTGGAAGGGAAGTACTATCGCAGAATTTGCCGGTGTGACCGAGAGAAACCACGAAACCCCTCATTCATGGTAGAGAGCCACCGGGTTATAAAAGCGAATCCGGCCACTCAGGAATAAGGAATCTGTAGGCCTACTAACCACTACAGCGTGACATTAGGAATTAGTCATTAAGAAGTATTGTTACTGCAATAAATTTCACTTTA